CACTCCCACAGTCTCACCTTCTCTGATGAGCTCATCATTGTAACAACAGCAACTGATCCATTTTCTGACTACCACCTTTTGTCTAGTTCACTAGCTTTGGAATTCCTACTATTTTGACTTCTTCAACCTTATAGAGAATTTTGATCCCCAAAATCCATTAACTTTTAAGCATATATGAATTTCCTCCTATCTTTACCTCTATATCAGCTCAGACTTCATAGTCTATCATTATAATCACTTTAAAATATGTTATCATGTAATTCTGTTTTGAAACCTAAGATCTGTTTGGCTACCTGGATCCCAACAAATCAATCACTTGTCAGGAAAGTTACCTAAAGTGGATGACTGATTGCATTTCAAAATGCAAGATGTAATTGTTAAATGAAAATTTAACACTGCCTGTTTTCCTCCTGAGTTCCTATTTTACCCTCCAGGAAACCAATGTCATGCCTTCCTTTCAAATTTAAACATCAAAGCTCCGTTTTTCCATCAACTAATACATAAAATCTCCTAGGACACTGCCCAATCCCTTCTTTTACAGAGGAGTTATCAAAGTGTATTCCTTCAGCTGGAGTTTAGCACAGTGGCACAATAGCTACCTAGCATGCACACAGCCCTGGTTTCAGTGCTCAGCACCAGAACAGGGTGGGAGAGACATGCATCTCATCCTCCCTCTCTTTCTCAAGAATCTTACTGCTTTATGATCCACTTCTTCTTGATCTTCACTTCTCCTGTTGAACCCAATCATTTCAATGATTACTAAGGTATGTTCTAATGTTGCTCATTTAGAACAAAGCCATTACTCTTTCATCTCACTCCTCAACTCCAAATTACTGGACTTAGTTGTCCAGTCTTTACTGAAAACACACTGTAGCAGTGGTGGCAAACATATGGCACTCATGTCATTGTGTTTTTCCTTTAAAACAAAGTATGTTACCATAAAGTTGTTTTCTCTAAACTAAAATCCCAGTATTAAAGTTTAGTTACAGTGTTATTTATTTGAGATTAAAAAACAGATTTTGTTAAAAGTTTGAAGCTCAGTCTCTAAAAAATTCACCATCACTGCTATATACTAAAATCTTAGAAGACTGGATATTCTAAACTTCTCCTTCTATGGAGCTATTGCTTAGACTGCACTGATCTGGCCTCAAAATTATATTTAGGAGACTGAGTTTTACCATTACCTTTTAAAGCTCTATGAAACTTGTCACTTCTAGATCATGATTACATAATCAGTATAATTATAAGGCATAAAATATGTAGACATTATTGAAGTAATTTTCTTCACAAACATCCATGCGAGAAATTTCATCCTAGACTCAGAAACAATACAGGCTGTACAATTCAAAAAATTATTTGACCTTATACTTTCAACACTGTGAAAATTGGAACTAAAATATTTTGCTATTTTTTACAATGCTACTGTACTATCAACTATACAATATTATTTCTGAGCTTAATCTTATTCTTACCTTGGTCAATTTTCTGCCTTTACTTTCTCTCTTCTAACGTATCTCCTTTGGTTGGATAATAACCAAATCAGGAAATTGAACTAAAATTCCCATAGATGTTTGAATCCTTCTTTCATTATCAAGTCATTTTTCAAAGGAAATGAATATGTGGAAACCACAGAAAATAGTACCAAAGAGCCAAGGACAACTCTATATGACTTATTGCTCAATTGACTGCTAACTATGAAAGAAATCCTGGATTTTCTTCCATATATATGAGTTTTCTGTTAATTCACATTTCACAGAATTAACACTATGTGCTTTTCATGAAAAAGAAAAATACCAAACCCAGGTCTGGTACAAATTACTTCATCCCTTCCTGGAGATGAATGCTCTGATAGAGCAGAAGGGAGAACTAACATCGGCCTCAACCTTAAAAAACCCACTCATTTCGCACTTATGTCTTCATTACCAAAAGCATCTCCTAGGCAAGAATCTGAGTCACTAAGGCCAAAAGGAACAGGAAATGGCTGGTAGATGCTACTCTTCAGGTGTCAGTTTTTAAATCCTCAATCTGGTTCCTTGTTTAAAAGGCACTGGCCATCCTATTCAATATTTAGTTATCTACACAGAAGTCAGCTATGTCAAGGCCTTACCATGTGTTGAGAGGAGGTGAAAAATCTCTAGATAGTTATTGAAATCTGGATAATGTAAGGTAATCATGGGCAATATTAGTGCTGTAAGAACTACTTTATCTTTAAAAAAACCATGATGCATTAGTGCATAAATATCTTCACTTGCACAAATATTTGCATTTTTCATGGTCTTGATTGCAGATTCATCCTATAGCACTATCAGTTGAAGTCAGGCAGGTGTGTGTCATTTCCCAACAAAATAATGACAACAACTTTTGTTTAATTAAAGAATAATGCACCAAATGATCCCATCATCCAACTGATGTTTGGTTCAGGATCAAAATTACAAACTGAGTATAGAGGATGTCCAAAGCCAAACTTTCCTGCCCTTTGAACCAGATTGCAATGGAGAACTCCCTGCTTCCTTGTGAGCAGTTGCCATTACCATTTCCCAAAAACATTTACTACCCTTCACCCATTGTCTTTGATAGAAGTAATCAGTAAGTAACAAGTTTCTGGCTGGCTCATGGCCTTTTGTTCACTGTGAACAACTGATTATCCCAGGTCTCCACTGCATTGCCATTTTGTCTCTTGCTCTTTCTTTTTTCCATGTGCTATATAACACATTGTAGAGGATTGAGTTCTACTGCAGGGGTCCTCAATAAAAAGTAAAACTAAACAAAAAACAGTGCCATGTACCTACAGTTAACATTGCTGTATGATATGCTTAATTTTTTCTTCAGAGGGTAGACTTTTTAGTAATAGGGTCTATCTTTCACTTTTTTTTCTTTCAACTTCAGTAATGAAACTGAAGGCACTGCACATGTGAGGAAACTGTTCTATCTCTGAGCTATATCTCCAGCCCTTTTTGAAACAGGTTCTCATTAAGTATTGCAGTTTGGGGTTTTGAAAGGACAACATAATACAGGACACATGTTTCATAAGATTATTTTATAATGAATAACCCAAACCATCATATACAAAGAGTGCAGGAAATCTGTCCAAACACTAAGACCAAAGAAGCTAGCTGAGGGCTTGGATCCCATGATAATGTCCTTCATGAGTCTAGCTGAAGATCTAGGACCCATAACAATGCCCCCTACAAGTCCAATAGAGGCCTAGAATCCATGACAATGTTTCATGAAAGCATTTTTTATGGATCTGTGCTGGTAAGGCTCAAAGGTCAACTGTAGAAGTGAAAAAGTCTGTGTCAGTGGATGAAGGATCTATGCTAGCAGGGGGTTGAGGGATATGAATTGGAGCCAGGAAGCAACACTCAAAGTAAGAACCAGAGCTCCTCCAAAACTTAACACAGCCTTCCTCAGCAACAATAAGGCTTCAAGCTCCTTCAACAACAAGGAAAACTGAGTTTTCATTAGGAAAGCTATTGCAACAAGCTTCTCCAGGAGACTGAGCAATACACTATCTTCCCCTCCAGAGCCAGGTAATGATGTTCAAAATGAGGATCAGAGCTCCCCAAAGTGAAGCCTAGCCATTCTCAGAGACAGTAAGTTCCTTAGCTCCTTCAACAATGAGAACAGCTGAGTTCATCAGAAAAGCCAGCATGACAAGATCCTCCAAGAGAACTAACAGCCACCCCAAGAAAACCAACAGCTTCCAAAATCTTTTCTTCTTCTTCTCCAGTTCTGCCTCTTATGCTGCTACAGCATTCCTCAGGTGACAGCCAGCACCACACTGAATCAGTTCAGCTGGGTGCTACAAGTTGACCACCAGTTTTCAATCCACCACACTAAGTTAGACAACTGGTCTTGAATTTGCAATCCTGCTTCAGTTTCCCAAGTAGCTAGGGTTATAAGTTTGTATCACCATGCTCAGCAAGTGTTCTTACCATAATAAAATAATTTTTAAATGGTAAGTGTAAGAACACAATTGTGACTAATCACAATGACCAAGAAAATGACAGAATCTTTTCATGCCTCTCAGAGCTGTCTTTCATGTCTACACCTTAGTGTAAACCATACAGTTGTATGCAAGTTTATTTCACCAGCCATCAATATACACATTCCAAGTTGTTACTATCTTAGCAAGAGAAACACAGGTTTTTGTAACAGCCAGTATTTTCCTCTTACTAGCAAGATTTTTTTCAGAAATATAAGCATTTATTTTATGTAGCATAAAGCAACCAACTACAACTGCAAATGATTAATGTAGAAAAGGAAAGCACACTGTACAAACTACACATAGATTTGTGCTCAGACAAATTTGTTAAATACTTCATAACAGCCTTACTTTATTTTCATGAAAAGGTATATACTAGTCCAGTGGTTTTAGCATACTACATATATCAGAAGTCAATTTTGACTTGTTTGAAGTATTCTCATAAAAACTACTTGTCAACAAAGCTTATTTAAAACTAAAATTCAAACCTGACTACAAGATTACTGGTTTTCCCTGCAGGTTTAATCTCAGCACAATAAAATTACTTTCAGCTTCATCTTTGCCAATATCTAATGGGAGATATAAGAATAATACTGACAAATCATTTCTAGGAATTTCTAAAGCCTTCTTCACCATAATCTATGTTAGAAACATTTTTCAGGGGCCGGGGAAATAGCTCAGTAGAATAAGTTCTTGCCTGGAAAGCACAAGGTCTTGAGTTTAATCCCCAGTACCACAAAAAAGAAAGAAAGAAATAAATAAAAGAAAGAAAAGGAAGCATTTTTCAGTTCCTTACATTGCTCTTTGAATCCTCCTCAGCCTCCAAACTGCAAACTTATACCTCTAAAAAGAAGCAATTCTAATTAATAACTTTTGCATCCAACAGACTTAATACAACGGCTCTTAGTTTTTGGTGTTTAACTAAAGAGTACCCTCACTCTTGCAAAAATTGTTAATGTGAGAAAGCTCTGTGATGTGGCATCCTTCAAAAATCATCCAACATAATTTCACTTACGAGAGGTTTTGGAAGCCAAAAGAGTAACTCGGGAGCCTCCCAAGAAGCAGAAGCCCATCACATTCACTTGGTCATCATCCGGCTGGCTAGAAAAGCCTATAGGAACAGAAAAGGTCAACTTATATAACACAAGTTATCACTTAAAATTTAAAATACAAACCATTAAATAAACTTTTATGTCACTAGCCATATTTAAACACCATATATGAGCTATACGACAGCATATTATCTTAGATTTCCACAACAGCTTCTGACAACAGAAATTGTCAGAATTTCTGCAACACAATCCTCCAACATGATTTCATTTCCTTGCTTCTGGTGGCTGATTCCAACTCTGAGAAAGAATATACAGAAGATAAACCTAAAATATATCACCACAGCAGAGGGAATAGAAGCAATCAGCAACTAGCAGGGTTCTATAAAAAAGGCTAGATGTATTTTTTTTTAATTTTTTCTTCATATTCTGTAAGGACGTGAAGTTTAACATATCAATACTTGATGGAAAATACCTGTTCCATGTTATGCCCCAGACGTTTGATATTCAGACAGATAGCGAGGTTAAGCTCAACCGCCTTTGTTGTAAGGTAATAATCATAAGCTTCTCTTCTGGAGAGTTAACAACCTAAGTTTACAGACCAAAAATTAGAGAAAAAGAAGGGTTGCAAGGACAGCCAAGATTTTGGGCTTAGCCTTTCAAGGTCAGTGAAGACTCGAGACATAGGAGAACCTGTACTGTAACGTCATGTAACTCAGTTCTGTCCCGAATTTTCTGATCAAGGAAATTATGGGGCCATAGAAGAAAGTGATTGATGATGTAGAGTGTGCCTAAGGAGAGTCACATGGAGAGAAAACATTCTCTCAGACTTTCACAGAGAGCAAATTGGTCAAGCAATGGTTGTGACTCATCCACATGGCTGACACTGACAAAGGATCTACAAACTGTGATACAAGGTTTCAGGTTAAATCCTGAAGGGATCTGACTAACCTTATCAGATACAAAAGTTACATTCCTTGTTATACAGGTCTTGTTTTATCTTGGTCTTTTTTTTTTTTTTTCTCCGAATGCCTTCAGGGCAGGTTTGACTAGCTTGAGTTCTGGGGATCGAACCACAACAACCTGAGCCTGACTGCTTTGTTGAAGCAGGCACTTAAAGAACTGAGCTAAGGGGCAGGACCCCTTATCTTGGTCTTAATCATCCATCAGAAAAGTATAAAAACGAAGTATAAAAAGTAAAGCCATATTAATATACTGAGCTGTAAAAGGCTCAAGTCAACAACTTCTGACATTGCCAGGCCTACAGAAAACACACTACTATAATGGGCTACTGGACTATATTGAAGTATTTTGCTGAATTTATGTACCTACAATATTTAAAGGATAATGGAATACCCTTCTCTGACAAAACTAAACAAAAAAGGGTGATACAAATGACCATTTTGTATCTGTATATTTAAATTAGGATAGATATACAGCTGAATTCTCTTAATTCAATGAATAGAGTTTTGTTCAAATAGTATTTGTGAACAGGATATCTGCATCTTGTGCAATGAATAACCACTAAGACAACAATATGCAATGTATTAATTATTAAAGCTGTACTAGTAATCGGTTTTGAAACAGTCTCATTGCTATTTGTTTTTCAATAAAATTATTTTTTTTAAAAAATGGCTAGAGAGCCAACATAAGGTGACCACCGGGCACAGACAAAATTATTTGACTATCAAAGAAGATAATAGAAAGCTATTAATGAAATATCAAGTAATATTTAAAGTCATGTGTTTACATAGATACTAAAAAGAAAAAAAAATGCCACTATCAGAGGATACTTAAGTATCAATGCTATTTAAGTACACATGTTTCTTGCCTTATAATGGGATTATGTCCTAATAAATCCATCATGAATTGAAAATGTAATGTGGAGATATATTCAATATACCTGGCCTACCAACCATCATGATTTAGTCTTGCCTACCTTAACTAGGCTAAGAACACTGACATTAGTTGATAATTGGGAAAAATCAGCCAACACAAAGCCTACTTTGTAATGAGGATTTGATTATCTCACATAGTTTGCTGAACACTGGCAGTGAACATCCCACTGCACGTGGACTGCTCACCCTCATGGCTCTCAGGCTGACTAGAAACTGTAGCTCACTGCAATCCAGTATGACAAGAATGTCCTCAAATAGCACTAGTCCCAGAAAAGATCAAATTTCGAAACTTGGAGACTGGCTCTTATTGAATGCACATCACTTTAACACTATCATAAAACTAAAAAATCATTAGTTTACCCATTGTAAGTCACAACTATCTGTAATTTTAAAAATCATGAAGAGAAAAAAAAAGTCATGAAAATAAATGACCAAGTATTTTGTTCCAACATGCCTACTCAAACTGTACCACTTTGAATTTAAGGGAAAGGTTCTCTGTATGGGATATTTCAAGCTAAAAATTGAATAAAGATTGAAAAAAATAGGACCTCACTATTTTGTGGTCATTAAGAAACAAGTGGATCTCAACACTGAATATCAATGACATCAAACAAGCAAACAAACAAACAGACTGACAAAAGTATATACTAACTACCACCAATGAATATCTTTGGCCAAAATAATCCTAACCCTACTAGCTCTAGATCGTTTTCAGTTTCACAACCAATATGGCAAAAGAAAATATGAAGCAATATCACAGAGGATAAAGAACATAACCAAAGTGGTGAAGCCAGAATTTATATTTCTGGAAAAAAAATAATAATTACAAATAAAAGAAATGATAGATTTTTATGAATAAAAATCATCTTGTAAGCATTCAAAGGCACATTTAGGAATTAGTAGCAACAGAGAAAGGATAACAAATGATACCAGCATACCTGAGGTGCCTACTTGGAAAAAAGAAGAAAATGAGAAATCACTGGTGTTAGTCATGCAATTTGAGTTGCCTGATGGAGACCACTACAAAGCAACCCTGAGCGGGATTTAAATTAGTCAATTGGCTTTCCATGTTTACTTGCAAGTCTATCCAAGGTCTAGCTAGACTCCTTGTTTGGAGATGAGCAGTGCACTCATAGTAAGGGAGGCTCCATGAGTCACTGATCCCAGTTGAGACCTGTGATGGATGGCCAAGCTATAAAGCCTCAAAATATAAAATCACAGCTAAGGACATCTGGATCCAACCTCAAGTGGATAAAGACTATAAGCCTCAGGCATGTTACACCTGGTGGATTAACTTAATACCTTAAATCCTAGAGCAGTTCTGCCCTTCTTGAGTATTCTACTCCCTTCTTATGATAACTAAATAAATACAGGTGGGGGGAGGGGGTAATGACTCAGTATAATAAGCACTTGCCTGGCAAGTACAAGGGCCTGAGTTCAATCCCTGGTTCCGGAAAAAA